AGATTCAACTTAAGAACCCCAGGCGTCCCCAAGTCAGCTGCTGCTGAAACTGATCAGCGGCTAATTCCAGGAAGCCGGGGGCAGAACAACTCTGCCTCGGGCTTCCTGTAGTCAGCCGCTGATCAGTTTCAGCAGCGGCTGAACCTGGAGCCAGTTCCGACTTACATACAAATTCAACTTAAGAACAAACCTACAGTCCCTCTCTTGTACGTAACCCGGGGACTGCCTGTATACAGATTACTTATATCCCAGTACGGGGTTGAGAACCAAGAAATTATGGCCCCATTGTGCTAAGTATGGTACATAGTCCAAGGCAGTCCTCCTGGCCCCGAAGAGCTGAGTCTAAGCATAAGAGATAAAGGGTGGAAGACAAAAGGAAAGTATTATGCTTAAAATCAGTTACCAGCAAAGCCAGTAATAGAATTCATATTTCCCGAGCCTTTGGCCAGTGCCCTATTGTACCGACTACTAGACCACACTAAGGTCTATGCTTTTGCAGTCAGAGCAGCTGGGGCTGGAACTCTGTTGCCATAGCTAGGTCTGTCTAGTGCCAAGCCAAGTAGCTGACAGGAAATCTCTGAAACAATTATGTGTTTCATGAGACCCTTTTGTAATGGCTTTTGTTAGAAACTACCACAGCCCAAGACTGTCTCAGCAGGGTGGACTGTTTTCTCAGAGTCCAGACTGATGCCAGTGTGTGGTGCTTTCCCAGGCCCAGTGACATAAGCCTGCAGATGGTTGGTGAAGTGGACAGATTCTCTAAATTGGTGTGCTTTTCCTTTTGGGGCACTGTGTTTAAGAGGGAATAGTGTGTGTAAGGATGTGGCCTGACCACAATACCCCAACATGAAGCACAGATTGTCCATCCATATTAGATATAAGAGTGTTAGGAGATCTAAGTTGAAACTTTTGGTATCATAGGTATGGTCCAAATAATGCAAAAGCCATGTGATGTTCCAGCACAGCACGACTCCAGTTCATACATCCTACAAAATCATGTGGTACATGAAGGCTACGTCTACACTGGCCCCTTTTCCGAAAGGGGCATGCTAATTTTCAACTTCAGAATAGGGAAATCCGCGGGGGATTTAAATATCCCCCGCGGGATTTAAATAAAGATGTCCGCCGCTTTTTTCCGGCTTGGGGAAAAGCCGGAAAAAAAAAGCATCTAGACTGGCCCGATCCTCCGGAATAAAGC